CACACACACACACACACACACACACACACACACACACACACACACACACACACACACACACACGATGAAACAGTCTGGCACAGTCATGCTTTTTTTGAGTGTATAGCGAATATGACAACTCAGACAGACACACACAAGTGTGCCGCTTCATCGGCAGATGGTTGTGTGGGCACTTCCCACTCAGCCACACAAACGTGTACTTCTTTTGTTCATGGATGATTTGTGATGGTACGAGGATGGATTGAGAGATGGAGAGTTTGGGGATCTTGACTAACACACTACTCCTCTGGGTGGAATAGGGGTTGTTGTGGTGGAAACTTAAAACACACTTGCGCACACACAGACACAGGCACAGACACCAGTTTCTCGGACTTACGACCATTTGCAAGCAAAAAGAGCGACAGCAATAGACAGAAAACCAAATTGCAGTATCACGTTGAAGTCCAGATAGTCGCGCCCCAAGCAGAAAGCGCAATGCGCTGAGATACAAGCCAAATAAGAGCAATACAATGAACTCAAATGTCAGTCTCAGCTTCTTCTTGCCTCCTTCCACAGTGTATCCAATGTCGCCCTTCTTCGTTGGCGTTCAGCGCACAGCCTAATCAGAACCTACTCTAGCCTACACTACGACATGCGAAGACCAATGTATGTGACGAAGTTTCCCAAGCAGACTGCCACATAGACCAGGTACGTGTCTCTACTCTCCCTCTCTCTCACCACCACCTCTTCCCCACATTTTGCACCTCCTACCCGAAGACCACCATCACCATCACCAGCATCTTCACAAGCAGGCCCGGATATGGCCGCTCGTACCCGCTTCCCTTGCAGTGCCTCTCACTCTCTGCACCCTTGCGCGCCTCTGGCCAGCCAGCGCCCAGGAATCCAGCCAGTGCTCTGATGCAGCAGCATGGCCGCCCTGTTGTGCAAGGCCAGAATGAGCTCTCCTGGGTGAGGCGCTTTTCTAAATTGGAAAGTGCAGCCCTGCTCGGGCAGCCTGGGCCTCCTGGCGGAGTTCCCAGTAGCCTGACTCCGGGCCAAAGTGCCTGCACCCAAGCCCAATGCAGACAGTGACCTGGGCCCGCAACAGTCAGGCAACCCAACAGTGCGATATGGCCAGCATCATTTGCTGCTTCCCCATTGGCCGAGAGGCCTGGAGCCACATCGTTGGCAGGAAGAGCCCAGAGGGGGCACAATGTTGTGAGCGCAGTGGCGTGGGCCTTGCAACCAACTGGCGCGAGGCAACTGTCTGGCGCCCCCGAATGCAGAAAGGACAAAAATAAGGCCTCAAGTTGAAATGCAGGCCTGCCTTCAGAAACGACAAAAATAAGGCGTCAAGTTGAAATGCAGGCTGTCCTTCACTTAGGGCGGGCACAAGGCTTGCTGGGGACCTCGACAGTGTGGGGCAAAAAGACCTTGCGAGGGCTTATTCCTCACACTCCCTCCTGTTTAGCTTCTAAAGTTCTCGCTGAGATGCTTCTACGCAGTAGCTTTCCCCTTTTAACTTTCGTTTATAATCAGCAACAACCTGAGATGCTGTCTTAATCAGCTTCTCCTTCGTGAACCACCAATCGTCGTTTGGATCCGTGTGATGCCTGAATCTTACCCGATACTCTCTTGCAGGTTTCGGCGGTCTTCCTCTGCCAGTAGGTTTTGGAACGGGCAGATATCGATGATCAACAATGTTGTTGATCTCCACGTGGCCGTCCATGGTTGGGGGCAGCATTGATCTCCTTGATGGGAAGTGATCTGTCTCAGCTAAAGGTGCAAGCTTTCCCAGGGCTAAAGGTGCTCGGAAAACAAGGTAAGTGCATCAGTGACCAGGGTTTCTAATCGCATAGGAGGGAGTCCGAGGGACTATCAGCGAAAGGTTGAAGCTTTAAAGCGCAGAAAACAAGGTAAGTGCGTAAGTTGCCAGGGATTCTAATCACATAGGAGAGACTATCCAGACCATTCCCTACGAAGTCTAGGACTTCCCAAGGACCCAGGTACTGAAGCGTTGGCTTTCTAGTGTTGAATTCTCCTCCTAGCTCACTAGACTTAACCCAGACTCGTTCTCCTACCTGAAATTTGGAATGTCAACAGTGTCTGTTCTCAAATGCTATCATGGCATCTTGAGCTTTCTTGATGTATTGGAGACCAAATTCAATGGTTGCGGGTGTTGCTGCTGGTCGGTTTTCAGGAAGGAGAAAGTCTAATGCTTATTTAGGCTTCCAACCCAAGTCAATGGTTGCAGGTGTTGCTCCTGGGCGGTTTTCAGGAAGGAGAAAGTCTAATGCTTATTTAGGCTTCCGACCCAAGTGCAGCTCATTCGGGGAGCACCAATGCGTTGTCGTACAGGTCGGCAATGAGAGGAAGTTTCTTGATGTACTGGATACCAAATTCAGTAGTTCCAGGTGTTGATGCTGGTCGGTTTTCAGGAAGGAGAAAGTCTAATGCTGATCTAGGCTTCCAACCCAAGTGCAGCTCATTCGGGAGATACTGGTGGTACTGTGAACAGTGTTGTTGTACGGGATGGGCTTGATGTAGAGCCACTGCTCAGCTTGACCATTGGCTTCAGGATGATTCCCTGAAGTCGTTTGGAGTTGGCTGCCCATCTGTTCAGCCGCTTTCTTTCAAATTTTGCTGGTGAAATGGACATCTCTCCTAGGCTGGTCCCCGGGCCGCCCGGCGGCCTGGCCGTCGCTCGGGGGGGAGGTGCGGGGCCGCCTGGCCGGTTGTCGTTCCCGGTTGGCCACCGGGTGCGGTTTGTTTTTTTTTTCCGGTGCTGGGCCCCTTTTTGCCCCCTTCATAGGCCGTGTGGACTGCGAAAAAAAAAAAATGGGGCCGGGAGGCCTGATTTCACCAATTTGAAATCGGGCCTCATCTGGATCGTCGATCTCGAAGATCGATGGCCCAGATTGCACCGATTTCAAATCGGTGAGGGCAGGAACTACCGGCCCACGTTCCCTCCCCCGTGCTGAAGATGTGCCCCGAACATCCCTCCTTCCCTGCCTTGCAGCGCTGTGTGTCCGCCGGCCTTCGATGCGCAACTTCAACGCGCGTCTTTGACACACGCCGCCACACCTGCCAACGCCCGCCATCGCGCGTGACCTTGCTGTCGCCCGCCAATGGCCGCCTTCAACAAGGTAAGGGACTTAGTTAGAGAGAGAGAGAGAGACAGACACAGAGAGAGAGAAAGAGAGAGAGAGATCTTCTTCTTCTTCTTCTTCTTCTTCTTCTTCTTCTTCTTCGCTTCTACTTCGTTTCTTCTTCTTCTTCTTCTTCTTCTTCTTCTTTGCCCCCCATTTCGAGCCCCCCTTCCCGCCGTCCTCCACCAGCCGTCTTCTTCTTTTTCCCTTTGGCTGCTTCAACTTCTTCTTCGGCTCCTTCTTCTTCTTCTTCTCCTCCTCCTCCTCCTCCTCCTTCGCTTCTTCTCTTCTTCTTCTTCTTCTTCTTCTTCTCCCCCTCCTTCCCTTCTTCTTCTTCCCTTCTTCTTCTTCCCTTCTGCTTCTTCTTCTTCTCGTTCCCCTTCGCCAGTTCTTCTTCTTCGCTTCTACTTCGCTTCTTCTTCTTCTTCTTCTTCTTCTTCTTCTTCTTCTTCTTCTTTGCCCCCGTTTCGAGCCCCCTTCCCGCCGTCCTCTACCAGCCTTCTTCTTCTTCTTTTCCCCCTTCGCTGCTTCAACTTCTTCTTTGGCTCCTTCTTCTTCTTCTTCTTCTTCTTCTTCTTCTTCTCGCCCCCACCCCCCCCTGCCCGCCATCCCTCACACCATTTCCTTTTTTTATTATTATTATTTTTTTGTCTTGTGCCACGTGGGACCGCATTTTGAACCTTCCCCCACGGCGGCCATTTCCCCGAACTTCGTCTCACCCAATCTTTCTTCCCGCTCTACTCCACCCTTCTTCTTCTTCTTCTTCTTCTTCTTCTTCTCCTACTCCTCGTCCTCTTCTTCTTCTTCCACATACACACCTGCAAGGTCTATGACACACCAGCACTGACATCCCCCAGACGGCCCGCTGACATCCCTCCCCCAGCCCCCGGACCCCCTATGAGAGTGCACCCAGATAATTCGCCCCATACGAGAGTGCGTCCTCATCCTTGTTGTATTCCCCCGAGTACTCAAGCTTGAAGTTATATTGGTCTATGACCTCAATCCATCACTGGAGTGCGTCTGAAAGGGTAGGCTACATCTTGGTCCACTTGAGGGTATGATAGTTAGATCTCACATAGAAGAACCTTCCCAAAAGACAGTGCCTCCAGTGGATAAGGGCGTTGTATAGGGCGTAGAGCACACACTCATAGGTGGACTTCAACAACTTTTGAGATGGCAACTTCTTGCTCATATACTTGATCAGCCTCACCTTCTTCTCGTCTGGCTCTGCACCTAATGCCAAGTTATCATAATAAAGGGCTTTTCAGGATTTGGAAGCATTGCGATCTCACAATGGAAGGTTCTGCTGAGCCATTTGGAAGATTTGGGGGTATCCTTCACTTCATAC